TCTGTATATAATTCTTGTATTTTACAACTAACCCCATCATTTACATTGCGAAGTAACTTTTAAATAATTTAGCAATCACAAATTTTATGACACATTGTCAAAGATTGCTAAATTCGAAACGAAATAATATATAAAAAAATAAAATTAGTCGACGATGATAACGCAAACGGAAATTTTATGATAGTTCAATTTTATATAACCTGTCAAAAATGACTCACCTGCACAATTTTTTTACAGCATCGGCCTGCGGGACAGTAACTATGACAATATTATGTAGGACGGTTTACATGTCCAATTTACACAAAAAATGATTGCTACTACTTATAAAGACCATAGCTTTTTTATCGTGCTATATTTTTTGCTTATTATCGATTCTTTCTGGACATTTTTCGTAGTGAAAAAATGGCATGTAATCTGTTGTAAGATGCCTATCTCGCAGCATCACTCAAAGTGAAATTGTTCGACCGTTTAGTATCGCATTTGGATTGAATGGCTGCTCGAAATGTTTCATAAACTCTGTCAAAAGTCAAGTGGGCGTATTATGTGTATAAACCCTTGCTACCAGTTATCTAATCACAAAGCCCATAGCAGGCTTGGCTAACCCAAATGATCTTATGGGCCGCAGGGCACATCCTGCTTAATCCCGTGGGCCGTAAGCCGACATACACGATGAACTTCTAAGCCTCATCGTATACACGTACTCTATCAAAAAGAATTATTTGTTATACGGACTCTTTTTTTTACCTTTGAATATACATAGTGGAACCTCGCTTTACGACCTTGCTTCATAATAAATCCATACTCAGGGCTTTCCACATATAAGTAAAACAAGTGGCGTAAGGCATTGCAGCGTAAAATAATATCAGGTAATGAATAGGGACAAAAATAATTAAATTTTGAACTATTTTAAAAAATAACACTTTAATTTTTTTATATTTGTAACGATTTAGAATCAAAAGAATATTTAGATCAGTTTTGGCTATAATAAATACAAAGTGTAACAAATTTTGAAATGCAGTGTTAATATATTTCAACCAATGGCGTAATACCTGAAGGCAAATTGCTGGAACTTCCTGTAAACATTCAAGGAATTAAAATCAAAAATAATATATCAAAATTGATCAATGATTAATAATAATTATTTTAAATATTTCCATATAGATTATTATAAATACTGTGAAGTTTCACGACTATCGTATTTTACAAAGAATGTATTTAAGTGAACTGTAGTGTATTACAAGAAATGTAACTAATGTAGTGTATTACAAGAAATGTAACTAATCAAGCCGAGATAGAATGAAAGCATAATTTTTAGAATAAATTACTTATTCCAAAATTTAAGCGGAAAATAATCAAATTTTTTTGAAAATTTAAAAAAACGATTTTTTTGAAAATCTTGAAATATTTTGAAAATTCTGAAGTTTTGTTAAAATTTTAAATTGCTTGCTTCACTAAAAAAAATATTATTTCCGCACACCGTCAACACAAACAAATATTTTTTTCAATTATTCTATTCATATGATCCCTTTCCTCAAAAACTGCATGACCATTTTTTGTACCCTTAACACTTTGCCTCCGAGTCTTGCTTATCAACTCACCAGTACATCTCACCATGAATAGGAATCGAATGTTTTTTGAATAATTCAAGTCGATTGATTCATGTAAGAACATATATTACAAATATACATTTGTTTGAAACATATAAGAAAACTTTAAAAATAAAAGCTTCTGGCACGAAAGAAACATGTGAATAAAATTTATACTCATTATTAAAATCTTCATAAAATATCTGATAATTTGATATTCAATGATCATTTTTGATCACCAAATGGCTTTTTTTTTTACTTCTTCTTCTGAAGTTCCAAATACCAAATAATCAGCACGTTGCCTTATCAATAGGAATCGATTTTTTTTTGAATCATTCAAATTGGTTGATCTATGCTCTCGAAATGTTGAACGAAAAATTGTATCCGCACATATATACATCTTCAGAAGGCTTTGAAACGTAAAGATATGCAAAAATATTTTTGTTTGTTTTGTGTTACCTATAACTTACCTTACGGGAAGTTAATAATTATCAAATTAAATTAAATATATAATGCGCAATATATATATATATATATATATATATATATATAGTTAGTTCTTATTTCTCTTTACCCCGGTACATAATCCATTTCTTTATAAACATTTTTTTCTAATTAATCTGTATTGACCATCATTAATTAATGTTAATCAATATTTTTAAAAAACATTGTATTTGACAGAATAAACCTGATGATGGAACGTACCTAGTTCCGAAACGTCGTATTAAACATCTTCAAAAAACAAATTGTTTTTTATTATTGGATTTACTGTTCGGAAAAGAAACAATCAATATATTGAAAAAATCCAGGACTTATCTATTGAATATATATATATATATATATATATATATATATATATATATATATATATATATATATATACGTATATATATATTCGTGTGTGATAAAAAAACGTTCGTATATCACGTAGAAACATGTAAGCGCTAAATGATTAAATTTACTGATTACGACATATGGCAGTTTGAGGTGAAATGACTTACTACATTATATATCGGTATCCTGTTTTATATTCAGCCATTTATTATATATATTTTTTTCTTGACTGGTGTTTGTTCTGCCAACATCTATTTCGGCGATATGGATAAGAAAGTTTCGGCAGGTAAAGACACTCGTGCCCCCGTATCATGTTCTAATCTTTCGGGTAGGGAATTCTAAAAAGAGAGCGGAGTCCGGCCCGGCTCGGCTCGGGGTTGCGGGCGGCGCCAGTCGCTATTAAAGCGACCGATTTTTATAGCGTCCTTTATCCACTATTCATGGGCGGCGTGTAATACCGCACTCTCGCCACGAGCGATCTCGTGTTTGTTTAAGCGGGAACGAAAGATCAAACTTTTATGCGACGTCGTGGATTTAAATGATTTATTAGTTGGTGAAACGACCAAAAACGTACATTTCCATTGTTGGCTGCAGACCGTAAATTAAGCAATTATGTCGGCCTATATATAGGTGTGTTTTTATGCGCGTAAAATGTCGTCGTGGCACAAGCGCTGCTTGCCGGTATACCTAACTCTCCCATCCTATATCACGATCTCTCATAAATTAAGATCTATCATCACATCTTTTTTTTGATTTTTCATAATTGTTTTTATTTATTCTGTTTTATTATTAACTGTCCGTAGGGTAAGTTACATTATTTGCAAAAAAATCGTAAATGAAATTGTTTATATATCTTTTCGTTCTTTTGTTTCACAATGTTTTGAACATTTTGGTATACGTTAGAAAAAGTGGATGTATTGTACCAATGAAATTTATATTTTGCATGGGTTGAATAATATAGCTATTATTTCGTAAAATTTCTTAAAAACTAAAAATAAGAAATTCGACCTGTTTGTTCATTGGCAGCCTCATTGTATTACGTTGAAAAATAGCAAAAAATACAATTATATATATATATATATATATATATATATATATATATATATATATATATATATATAATTTAGAAATATGAAAAACAACGCTCTTTTTTGCACTAATTTATTAAATAATAATTTTACAAACGTTTCGAGACTAGATTTGTCTCTTGATCAATGTGTTATAATTTAAAATCTAAAATATGGAATTCAAATTAGCATTATGTATGCAATATATATATATATATATATATATATATATACATATATATATATATATATATATATATATACTAGATGACCCGGCAGACGTTGTCCTGTACCCACATCTACAACTTTTTAATATCCTATACTAATATTTACCGTTTACCTAAAAATAATGATTATTGCTTTTTAAATTACTCTTCACACCAAAATGCATATTCATCAATATGAGCGATGTTTAATGTAGAACTGCTTTAAATAAAATGAAGAGTCTCAATTCCCACACTATATTGACAATTGAAGACTTTTAAGCAGTATAACATATTCAGAAAAAATTAATATATAGTATCCGCGGAAAAGTACAATATTACTTTGGATTTTTTCACCCAAAATAATTGCTCTAATAATGTTGCCTATAATTTTTATAATCTCGTACCATATTTTAATTATAATATCTAAATTACATTTGCTTATTATTAGTAATAATTTATTATACATTATTATTTCTTAATTTCATATTTTAAGTGAATTAATTTGTTAAATCCCGTCTTTATGTGTTTCATTCAATCTACGATCAACTAACTAAATATTTCATATCCAATGCCAAATAAAAGAATTTTTGACCCAATGAAATTTCTAAATTATTTTTTGAATAAGTAAATTTATTGTATTGTGAAATAATTTCGTAAAATAAGGCAAAATACGACATGCATAAGTCTAAAAAAATTATATGTTAAACTGAATTATATAATTTCATCTGCCAAGCGCATACACAATCTTATATTATTTTAATTTCTGGCACATTTTAGGTGCTTATATTATTGTCATATATCATTTTTCTCACTATTATCATGATTACATTATTATCTAATATTGTCTGGGCTCATAAGAAAATTGAAATTTTTGGCAGATGACTGTACTCATTTATCAAATTATTTTTAATATCAAATAATGACATGTTGTGTTTTGCAATTTTTTCCATTTATTTTTACAATATTACTATATTTTTATAATCATTTCCTAAAAAAAATCATCCTAAAAAAATCCAATAACAAACTTCAGAAAGATTTATCAAAATCCAAATTAGATTATTTGACTACTACTATTTTACAAGATATTTTCAATGAACTTTAAAATGTATTTTGTGCCTTTATACGAATAGCAATAGTGATTGCTGCAAATACTGCAAAAGTCAATATATTCCAGAACAAACACCTATAAACTTTACGGGCGTATACACTTTTCTCTCTATGCAATATCCACATCTTATTAACTATATTATTAGTCTTATTGATAAATCGAGATTTCCTAGTTCACTAACGTTTAAATTTAATTTCAGAAAACGAATCGTCTGTAAAGGATGGGACGTACGCTGAATGCCGTATTCTTTATCTGCTGGATTGTCGGTAAGTGAAACAGATTTGTTCTATTTCTACATGTAACAGAAAAGTAATTTAAATTAAACATTAAATACTTTAACGTTAAAAATATTCTAATATTTCTGAGTAAGATAACCTTTTGCGTAAGTTCTTCAAATCCTAAATTTGCGGAATAACCGTCTGCGATATTTTACACCAACATTTTTATGCAATTGATAGTTATTAACGCAACTAATCATGGGATATGATTAAAATATTAATCCAATTTTCAATATTCATATTAACTTAGATATTAGATATAAACTGCTATCACTGCTCAAGTCACAGTGATATTTGTGGAACGTGGAACAAATATATTGAAAATATCTTACACTGGTAAATATCGTCGGAATAGTTGCCAATGTGGCATAACAATATAAATGTAGCAAATTGAGAAATTATCCAATCTAAATCAGCTCTTAGACTTAATTACCAAAAAGCCAAATTATTAAAATCAGAGACTAGTTCTTCATCAATGATGAGTATAAAAGCTTATTAGTTTAACATAATTAAATATATCTGCTTCTTCATATTGAATTATTTAACAGCATCAGATTACTGAACCTCTAGATATCGTTTTTATAAAAATACTGTACAGATGTTACGATAAAAAAATACTCTTCTACTATTTTTTGTTCCACTCTGTAAATTAGTTTGATTTTGCGCAAGAATAGCCGGCGTTATAAATCCACTTGTTAGTCTTTCATGTAATTAAATATTCCTCTGGCGTTCTAATTTATAGTTTCTCTTAGTTTTACTTGAACTGCTTATCATTTCGTGTGAGTTATTGCTGAAGTTTGCTCGTGTGTATACGTGTTCGATTATACGTTATCTGCCCCTTGGAACTTACAACATTTACCTCTAATTACTCGGTATTGTAAGTAAAACTGTTTAATGCCACTTTATAGTAGCAGCCATAAATAAATAATTTTAATGATAATTGATAGAAAGACATATTGCTATTGCAAATTTAACCTTGGTTCAGAAAAGAGCGCTTTTTTTAACAGAACAAAACTATAGTTTTATCTAACAGCAAAAAGAATGCTTATCCACATTTTAAATAACCGTAATTTTTGTTTTATAATTCTATACAATAATTGTGCTAATATTAATCAGCTGAAACTTATATTATTGTATTTAACTAGTGGATCACAAATTACCTACATGTGACGATGAATTGTAGATGTAAATAATTCCAATATCATAATTTCGGGAAGTCATACAAGATACAAGTATCCTTCATATTTCTTTTCTATCAAAGTTAGTTTTTAGCATTTTGGAAATTGAAACTTTGAGGAAAGTTTTTTGTTAAAAATTTCTTTGACTATTTGTTAGTTTAATTGTGAATAAACGGTAATTTGTTGCACCTAGTAATTAAGTTTACCTAGTATGTTTGGTATATAATATATGTTATATTGTTTCATTAATTCTAGTTTGCATAAACCAAGTTTTATTTTTTAATGCGTAGAGGTTAATACCAATAAAATAAACCTGTTATGTTTATTTATGTTTTATTATATCGACGTTAAATACATATCTTATATTAAATATTTTACTTATGAAAAGATTTTCAATAAATTACAGAAGTTTACAAGGCGAATAACATGGAATCTTTGAAGACACTTGATATAAACTTTTTCTAAAGAACTTTTATTTTTCAAAAGCTGTGTTTGTTTCTAATGAAAATAATTTGAGGTTAAAAAAATGTTCATATGTGTTTAGAAAATATTATTCGTTTTTTAAATTAAGTATAAGAAGATACGCGTTTAAACCGACTTAGGTATATATAAAACTAATATACCCCCACAAGTTTATAGCAGAGCCCATGATATTTAAATTGGTTTGTAATTTGGAAGTCAATAGTCAATAGTTTAATAGTGAAAATATTATAAATTGCATTTTTATAATTTCTCCTACTACTATCGCTACTATCCTTAGCACCTACATTGCTAATAATGTTATAGTCTTCAGTATCAAATTCAGTTTAATATCTGATAATAACAGTTTTAGAATCACTGCAATATTCTAAATTCCCAAAACTAAGTTTAATATTTTTTGTTGAAATAAATTTTCATGTGCATCTCGATAATGGGCGATAATAAATCCCCAACTTTTACCATATAATTGGGTGTGGGATAGCAATTTTTTTCTTATACCTCACTTCTTAATTAAGATAGAACATATAGTTCATTAACGGTTTTTTATGGTTCCCTATTAAAACTCGCTAACCACGCCGTAATTCAACCCATTATTTCTCATTGTTCTAGTAATAGTCTGCAACCTTGTTTTTTTAGCACCGGTGGTATCATACATTTAATGTTTGATTAAATCGTGCATATGGAGCATTAATAACTAACGCCGACAGGCACTATCGGGCTCGACACAATGTTCGTAAGTGTGTACCAGTTAAGCGCAATTTTATTTCACCTCACTATAAAGCAAATGCATATATGTGTAATAAAATTTTAAATTTATCAGACATTTAATGGATATCGTATGCACCCGAGTTTAAACTCGTACGCCTTACATGAAATATAATAATATTCGGTCTTAAAATAATATTATTTTAATTTTCTACTTTTATACTCGACATAATAAATTGTTAATTATGTTGCTACATCGTTCTTGACATAAACTTATAAATTATTGCTTTTATTAATTTATCTATATATGAAAAATTTATATTAAGTAAATGTAGATTGTTGGTAACATAATGCAGATATGTACTGAATATTTAGAATCCTTTATAACGGTCTGCGGGAAAAAAGATGTAGTAAGTTTTATGTAGTAAAAAAAGATTTCATAACCGGCATTATTACCCAATGATAGATTTTGTCTGTAGGGGTGGCTTAAAATTGGTTTAGTGCCAAGGAACATGCTGTCTCTGGTTCCACGTAAAATAGGCAGGTGATAGTCGCTTTTACATTTGTCACCATTGGGATGATGATTCTGACCAGATTTCAGTATACTGATACATAGTTATTGTAATATTTTGACTGATCGATCGTGATCGATAACAAGTATATGGAAGTACGCTTCAATTTAACCTGAAATCATTTTTGCTTGAACGCCAACCCTATGCTTTGCATTAATTTTATTGACTTGATGAAATAAGAGAAGTTTGAGAAAAAGAGAGTTTGAACTAAATTAACTAACGGTTATAATAAAGTCTGAAAAATACGTTTATAATGTAATATATATATATATATATATATATAAATATATATATATATATATATATATATATATATATATATATATATGAATGTATCACATTTTATTTTTGAATCCATACAAATAGAGACTATTGATATGTGAACTTGTTACATTTTTCAATTGCTGATAGCACATATAATCTGATAGTTTAACAAGAGAGACTTCTATGAATGCTGCAAATTAAAATATTCGACGTGGGCGATTGTGGCAAATGAAATTCGTCGTTTAGTTCTAAACGCATAGGTACAGTAAAAATATAGGTGCCATCAGAAATGGAAACGGCGCTCTTCAGTAGAATTGAATACAGAACGAACGTATAGAATTTGATTGAATTTAAACGAATGTGATCGTATTGTAAAATCGTTTCTATGGGTACAGTACGAGATCGATTGATGTATCTATAATATATATATATATATATATATATATATATATATATATATATATATGTGTGCGTGTGTGTTGCATGTGTTTAGACTGATATGCAGTTTTAAGTTATACATAATTCTGTAGCAGTTTGTCTTTAGGTTATGCTATTTGTGCCTTCAAAACACATTAAATTATATATACTCCATGTTATTATAAATTTTAACTATAGATGATATAAGATTGTATGGCGAAACATCTACATAGTATAAATTATTCTTATAAATTGGGTTATTTTATTTCATGTTGTCTCTATAACTTTATAATATAGATGGATGAAATAATTGTCTATATACATATATGGATGAACTTATTATCTAAATATTTGAATGAAGTTATTATCGTTATATATGGATGAAACATGACCTACGGATTCGAACTTAATTTAAGATATGGTTCATTTGTGTCTAAAACTATTTGAAGGTCCTTTACATAGACTCTCAGTTTTGCGTATTCTGATTTTTGATTCTCATGTGTTTTGTGTCGTCAGAATCGAGATAAGCAGTTGTTTTAATGTGGAATGCGACTTACAACTATTTATTTTATTCCGGCATAGACTCGAGATATTCTAAATATCTTGAAATTTGAAAATATGTATTCTTTTTAAAAATAGTCAATGACCACAGATTTATAAGCACGACGAGTCTCTTCTTATTCTGCCACTTTTCTATGACGAGTATCTTCGTCAACTACAGTTAACTGATTAAGAAAAATTACTGAAACTTTTCAATTTCATTTTATTTCATTCTCAATAAATCATCAAACAACGATTTCAAATTTGTAATTCTAAATCAAAATATTAAGAATTTAGAATAAATATAAATAATGTATAATTTTTATAAATTAACTATAAAATATAGAAACCTAATAAATTACTTGATAATTGAACAATAAGTGTTATTAATACTTTTAAAAAGGTCTGTTATATACTGTTATATAAATGCAAACTCATGATTTGACAAATATTAATGTATGATATTTTGAAGTTAAATATTTATAAGAAAACCATTCTAGTAGTTATTTTACGAAATATTTATATGTAATAAATAATATTTTCTTTTAATTTTTTTTATTGAGATTGAATGTAAATTGCTTCGCTCTAATTGGCTTCTTGAAATCGACGAGCCCTATTGACCCTCATAGAAAATCATTTCTATTCTATATTATATATATATATATATATATATATATATATATATATGTTCTTATAATCATATATAATATATTTTTATATCGGAATGCATATGTGTGTGAGTGCATATTTCTTTATGAATATGTCTAACATATGTATTTTTATTATATAGAGACAATTTTCGAGCGGACCATTTCCCATTTCTATCTTTTTA